CTCAGTAGCCATGATTCACTTAGTCGGTCTCATCTGTGTAGTTTCAGTTTTTTAGTATATTCTTAATCATTTTATAATTTGTCACTTCTCTTCAGATTCTTTGGACAATACCACTGCTTGGCTTCAGGCAGCAGCGTCTGAGGTGGTGTCGCCGTGTGAGCCACAGTCTGATTCTCCCGGTCCTGACAGCCGCAGTCCTTTCAGCCCCACTGCTGTCCTCAACCGGGCCTACATACGTCTTCTCCACTGGGACCCACAGGACCAGAAATATCCTGAGGTCAGCTGCCGTCTGAAAAATTACATCACGCCCATGCTTTTCATCGGACCCGGTGATATTTTATTGATTATGAGGGAATGTTCAGTTTGCCTACCCATTCCTCTTCACTGGTTAAAAGCATGTGAACTGATTTTAGACGCTGCATTAATATAATTGATGAATCATGACAGTTTGCATTTATATACTCTATGACCCCTGGAAATTCATCAATTATCTGTGGCTTTGCAATCTTATTTAGGGTTATAGCCATTAGACTCCTTATTGAGGTATTGATTTCATATTTATGCTGAAAACATTGTCCCCTTGTGACCCCAATCTGCCTTCCACACACAGACCATCCTGATGGATCGGGCCCGCCTGGATGCTCTTGGTCAGCGGCTCCAGATGTTGGTCCTGGAGGCGTCGGTGCTGCTCTTGACTAACGCTCAGTGCGGCTGCGTCGTTTTCTCCCTGCAGGGGTTTGTAGGTAAACTCAGGCAGTCCATCACTGCCCTGCTGGAGGGCAGTCACACAAGGTAAGAGGAGGATGTGGTGATGCATGTACTGGCTGTCACAGGGAACAGGTATTGTATGAGAAAGAAACCAATGGAGGTGACATGAGGCAACTAGCTTGTCAGAACAGATCCAGCTAACCTCATTCTTTCTGTTCAAGAGAGGGCGTGTCATGATTAGCGGATAAATGTGGAACAGCAGCTTGTAATGTTCGAGGTCTGCTTGCACTCTGGTCCGAGCTGCAATAAAAGGCAGCACAGGCTGTTTCTGCCTTACTCGCCTTTGTTACAATGTGGCAGTATTTAAAGACCTCGGCTGTTTTTTAACCCTCTGTAATATGTTCATGCGATCATTATTTAAATGCCAGAAGAGAAATCCTGAGCAAAATTAGAAGCCATTGCCATTGTTGAACATTTCTGCTTTGGTGTGTTGTAACAATGAATATCTCAAACTTGGCCTGGATTCATAGTTGACAAACTTCAAAAACTGAACCAATCAACATGCGAGATGAGGCTAACTTGTTAGAGCTGTTTAGGGGTACGAGGTTTATCTAACATTAGTGAGGAATTATCAGCTATAATCAAGCCTGAATGTTCAGATTATCTATGAACTCTATGAACTGGATCTGTTTTATGCATATACTGTTACCATGGTGGATGCTAATATTAAACGTGACCAGAGTTTCAAAATAGAGCAGTCCTAGACCGCATATCTCTGCCATGGCTGAAGACGACCTCAAATCAATTTCATAGATTTGAAAAAATGTTTGAATTCTTTTGTGATGTTTTCTTGAAAAAATACAAACAATGTTTGATATTTGGCAAGTTCTCCAATTTTGCCAGACATTGGTTTGTTTTGTTGTTTTTTTAAAACTCTA